AAAGGACCAGCATAAACCAGCAAAAGGACCAGCATAAACCAGCAAAAGGACCAGCATAAACCAGCAAAAGGACCAGCATAAACCAGCAAAAGGACCAGCATAAACCAGCAAAAGGACCAGCATAAACCAGCAAAAGGACCAGCATAAACCAGCAAAAGGACCAGCATAAACCAGCAAAAGGACCAGCATAAACCAGCAAAGGACCAGCTTAAACCAGCAAAGGACCAGCATCCCAGCGTCAAAACATACCTAACCAGCATATGCTGGTTTTTTCAACAGGGAATGCAAATCAAAGACTTCAAAGGAAGCACAGGTACTGACAACATTTAGTGTTATAATGTCAATTACCATGAAAAAGCCTGCTAATTTTTTTTTTTTAAGATTTAGACAGGCTATGAAAGGACCACACTGGAAAGGTTAGTAAGTGATACGTTTTTCTTTCTATTCTTCTGTTTACATAATGTAATTCCGACACATTTACCAGTAGAGGGCGCATGTAAACTATTTTAACGGTTGATATTTTCCTTTGTTCTCACAATGCAGTCTGGCTATTACACATACTTGTGAGTAATTATTATTCATTTGAAAAAGTGTGTCATGACCATGACACACAGTTTGTAAGCATTTAATTATGTGTTTTATAACATAAGTTGATGCTTACCACTTGAATGGTTCCTGAAGGAGGTACTCGATATCCCCTCTTACCGAGAGACTCCAAGTTTATGACACCCTAAAGAGAAGCAGGAGAATTCAATCCAGATAAAGTATGAGCCTTTTAAATAACATAACAATTGATAATAACATTATGGACTCCTTCACAGATGTTACGTTTCTGTATTTACACAATTGTACTAACCGAAGAAAGGGGAGGAAAAAATGATAGTAACATACCCACGACAAGTACACAAAATATCCAAGTAACTCAGCTTGGGTCATTACCATGTAGGGGGAAGGTGCGTTATCATCAGAGACGCTGTAGAATGACACGTCAACAGGTAAGGTCATGTGACTGGGGCAGAAAGTTACGCTGGCGCCAACCTCTGCTGTGAAACCCTCGATTGTGCCCAACGGCTCCAAACGATAATTCAGAACACACTCCTACACACATAAACACAAAGAAACATCTATCTATCCATCTATTAATCCAATCTAGTTGAAATTACAACTATGTCTATGAACAAGTCTAGTTTTAACATTCATTACTGACATGGAAATTTTATACATTTTTGAGGCATATGGTAAATGTATGAGCAGGGTAAAAAACAAAACCATTAGACCAAATAAAGAAAGAGGGTGTTGACACAAAGGATTGTTCACTAATTGTGTCTGTGTGTGCATGACCCACTGAGCCTAAATCTGAAACTGAAAATACTCATTTTAATATGGAATTTTTTTGGTATTGCCTTCTAAAAAACGTAAACTTCAAAGCACTTATAATGTCGCATGTACTGTAAATTCAAGCTCTTTTTGACTAAATATCACCATCAGACAATATTTACTTAAAATATAACTACACCCATTTCACATACTGTTTTTCTACATGTTTTTTTTCTGTTTATCAGTGCTTAAGTTTGCTGAAAAGTAAACCTGACAAACAGTTTTGGAGACTTAATTCCTTATTCAAGTAGATAAGAGCTGTACTTTCATGACTAGAAAATAGCTGCCTGGAAATGAACAGACTTGCTCTAATAAGGACTTAAAAAGAGCACTGCATTTTCACAGACCTTATCAGGCAACTTCTGGGGGCTAATTAAAATGAGTATACATATTCAGGAATAGGCATGTCGGGGCCACAAGCTGCCTGTTAAGCAAGTGTGGTCTTGACCAAAAGCACTTGACAGCATCATCTGACAGCAAACAATGAGCATTTCAGCCCTGTATTCCAGAAAGAAAATCCTCAAGTGAGCACTTAAGGTGGTCAGCTTCACGCCATGGTACCGACCTCAGATGGACGAGGTAGCGGAGGCTTCGTCCTTGACTCAGTGGGGACGGCTTTTTGTTGTTATGTCCATTGAACTCGCGTCTGACTGGGACTGAGAAGGTTCTCTGCCGCAGGAATGTCTGATGGCTGGCGGGCATTTCTCTCAGATCATACATCACCACAAACATCTTCACCACTGTCTTACTGGGGTTAAATAAGGTCTGACGCACAGAGACAGAAGACAAAACATCCGCTGAGCATCAAAGCTACAGAAAATGGAAAACACGAGCATGAATTCAAACTCATTTAAAGTTGCAGTCAGTGAGCATTTTATCAGAAACAGATGCTAATTATCGGAGTGGGTGGAAATCCATTAAAACCTCTATTAAAATAACAGTTTTATTTTACTATCGTCCAAAATCATTCATTAAAAACACTGCATCAGAGTGATTCATTCATGACTAACCCTGTTGAAAAAACCAGCATATGCTGGTTAGGTATGTTTTGACGCTGGGATGCTGGTCCTTTGCTGGTTTAAAGGGGAGGAAAAAATGATAGTAACATACCCACGACAAGTACACAAAATATCCAAGTAACTCAGCTTGGGTCATTACCATGTAGGGGGAAGGTGCGTTATCATCAGAGACGCTGTAGAATGACACGTCAACAGGTAAGGTCATGTGACTGGGGCAGAAAGTTCCGCTGGCGCCAACCTCTGCTGTGAAACCCTCGATTGTGCCCAACGGCTCCAAACGATAATTCAGAACACACTCCTACACACATAAACACAAAGAAACATCTATCTATCCATCTATTAATCCAATCTAGTTGAAATTACAACTATGTCTATGAACAAGTCTAGTTTTAACATTCATTACTGACATGGAAATTTTATACATTTTTGAGGCATATGGTAAATGTATGAGCAGGGTAAAAAACAAAACCATTAGACCAAATAAAGAAAGAGGGTGTTGACACAAAGGATTGTTCACTAATTGTGTCTGTGTGTGTGAAATTATTTGTTCATCTACCTCAAAGTTTCCCAAAAGGCTGAGGTTGGCAGGTGGAGCGCTGGCACTAAGGATCTGATGCTGAGACTCATCAAAGTCTTGTGATCTTTTCAAAACCCTGCAAACACAAACACACACACAAAGTTAAGTCAGCCATTTTAGGTAGTCTGAGCTTTAGGGATAACTCTAGTGTATGTGTGCACAGCAGATGGCAGTGTATGTAGGAAAGCCTCAGTAAAGGAAATGGCATAGTGAATTATGGAACAATGGCACTACAGCAGAAAATAAAGTGAGGAAAGAAAGTCATACCTCTTATTGGCAGCCCATGGCAGTCCTCTGCAATGAATCAGAGACGTGTCTAAATGAAAATATCCTGTCTGGCTTTTTCTTTGAGGAACCTGAGGGGGAAAAAGGAGGAAGCAGATGAACACATTTACATCTTTGTTTTGCAAGCTTGTGACCAATTGCACAATTGTACGTTATATAAATGTCTATACTGATACAACATACTGTACCCAATTTGCAATTGCATATAAGTTTCTTTCAATGTGTATTAACTCTTCATTTACATTGAAGAGTATATTACATTCACATACATCTTCATTGTCTTATTTAGCCTCTTTAGTTTTTTAAATGTATATGCAAGTACTTAAAGCTCCTGTAATCCAGAAAATACTGTGTGTGTGTGTGTGTGTGTGTGTGTGCAATAATTACGTATCCGATGGTAACACTGTGGCTACTATAAAACAAACAAACAAACAGACCAAGGATCTATTTGTTCCCATATCTATCAAAGACAGATTTAAAAGCCACAAATATTCTCTAATAATGTAAACATTTATATTTTATGTCAGCTTGCAAATAATTGGCATGCGTTGATTTTTTCCTATCCTTATCGCTAACCCTAATCATTAACTACCTGTAAAATCCGTGGGAAATGATAAAAAAGTCGATAAAGTTTTTAATTTCTTAATCAGATAAAAACTAAACTAATCTTACTGGAGAGGAATTTTGTACATAAAAAAGCAGTACATAGTACCTTTTTTTTTTAGACTGGTCATGTCTTGCAGAAAATGCTGATCAAAACAGTTTAGTTGTTTGCAACATTTAATGAAAACCAATAGAAAGAGTGAGAATTACATTTGAGTGGATCTCTAGAGAACAAGAGCACCACTCAGCTGGAGTAACAGCAGCAAACTCCCACACACAGAGAAGTGCCTGAGCCATACGGTACAAATCAGAACTCATTCTGCCATCGGTATGATTTGAAAACACTCATGACTTAATTTACTAAGAGTATTAATGGAAAGTATTAATAAAGTGTTGAAAGAAGTTATTATTGTAAGTCTATGGCCCATAAGACTTCATTAGCATGTCATCTAAGAGGCATAGAAACTCTGTGGACAGCATTTGAGACAAACAAGAAGTGATTCAGATGTGAGAGTAGATGAGTCACAGAGACAAAGACTCTGGGGCCCTTTCAGTAAGATGCTGTGCTATAATCTCTGTGTTGGAGAGTGACAGAGAGATCTATAGTCTTACCGGGCTGGAGAGGAGAGGTAGGCCTGTGCAGGGGTGGAAGGCTTTTGTTGCAGTTCCGTCTATGGAGTGGCGATTCTGTTTTTTCCAGTTACTGCATGACTTCAATGGGGAGGGTCTCTGTTAATACAAAGACAGAGAGGAGAAATTCAGCAGTGGGTTTCAAATAAAGGTTTTAAAACATAACAAGAAACAAATGTATGCCTATAAACCCACTTGACCTTAGTGCATTTACACATAAAAAACGCATAAGAGAGAGACATATCAACTCACAGTGTGATTGCTCTGGGCAGGACTGGAGGTGTTGCAAGTAAGGTTGGCTAGTGTGCTCGAGGGAGAAGCCCAGGGCTCCTGGTTCTCATCCTTCTCAGGACAAGTGGACTCATTCCAGACATCCTTTTCTGCTCCTTTCTCATGGTTTGCCTCTTGGGTCTTGAAGGGCTGGAGGTATCCAGTTCGGGTCAGGCCATTCTCCTGAGGAGAGCTTGCATGGCTAGAGTAGCTATTCAAGGAGGTCCAGGACTCTCTACTGGCATACTGTTGCTTATTAGTTGCCGTTAAAGGCTGTGATTTTGTGACGCTGTGGTCTTCAAGTTTTAAACCGGCCACATTTTGTGGTCTAGGGGAACAGTCCCGCTTACAGCGATTAGAGTCAGGAGATCTGCAACATTTTGTTGCTTGAGAAATACGAGGATCTGTGCTTGCCTCACCATTGGGTGCCCTTGAAGACTTCTCATGGCTTGATGATACAAAGCCATTTGTCTGCGCTCCGTGATTTGTCTCAACCTGTTCGGTTTGAGAGGTCTTCAATTTATAGGTGCCATTCAGGAGACTGTAGGAATGTTGCAGTCGCTCCTGAATCAACCTGGAGATGTCCTGAACTGCATCTGCAATCAGAGAACCCTCAGCAGACTGGTCACTGAGTACCAGGCGCCTACAAGTCGAGAGTTTTGGGGAAGTTTTTGATTCGCGGTCGACTCTGTCCAGCCGTGTTCTGCTTCTAGGGCTCAAGGGGGTGTCAAAGAGAGAAGACCGGCTCCTCTCAGGGATTTCTGGACTGGTTCCATTGTGGTTTTGAGGCTGGGGGACTGGGAAGAGGGGCTCTTTGTATTTCTTCAAGCGCTCCTCATCCTGCGATGAGTTCCTGGTTGTTTTGTGTCCTGGCGGTTCTTGAGAAGTGAAGAGAGCATCAGGGAGATGGGGAGCTGTAGGGTCGCATAAATTCAGTCGCTGAGCAATGCGAGCAATGACTTCCTGTCTCTCCTGAAGCAGGGAGCCAATGAGGGGGTTGGTTTCACCTGAGATGGAGCTGGGACATGGGCTGGGGGTAACTAAAGGGTCAGTAATGGAGAGTGATTTAAAACCACGAATTGGTGACTCCACACTTGAGGTCTTTGGGCTCTCCGCCCCATCAGTACACAAGTTATATGCCTCTGTAGGGGGGATGTCCACACCGCCGTTCAGCCGAGAGTACAGCCACTTGACGGCTTTGCCTGGTGGGAGAGGGGACTCAGGGCGAGGGTGGCATTTACGGGTGTTAAGAGGGCTGTGGGGAGGTGGAGAAGGGCGTAGAGGCCTGGAGAAGAGTGGAGATCCTGGCATACGGAGGGAACGGTGATTCTCTCCAGGATGGTTCCTACCCTCTCCACGCTCCAGGTTTCTCTTGCCCAAAGAAGCTATACCTGAGTGAATGCTACATTTGAGTATGGGGTATTTGGGCTGGCGAGGCAAAGACTGAACCCGCACTTTGAGAGCGACACTATGGGACACGTTCGGGACAGGGAAAGCATGTTCAGAGGGTGTTTGTGAGAAGTTCCATAGCAGTTCTTCATCAGCTGCACTTATTCTGCAAAATACAGCAAATGGGATTGTTAATAAATCCATTCTTATGTAAACTGTTGCACTGAATAGAATGATACAATGTATGTAAGGTATGACTTTCTGTCTTTCTTGCAATGATATTACGCAGCACCTGAAAATAGTCCCCAGCAAACTCCCTGTGCAATCAGGTGGTCACGTTGGTTATTTGACGAAAGTTAGCCTATTTTCAGGCGCTGCATAATATCATTGCGCCTGCTGCACCCATGGTACGGCAGCAAAGTTCCTTGATTATTACGCCGGAATGAGAGTATAGTTCCTAGCCATATCGGCCTAGAAAATCGCAACTTTTCATTTTCCGTCGGTCTTAGTACACGATGTAACTACAGAAGAGTCAAGTTTTAAATAGGAAAAATATAGAAACTCTTTGGTCATTTTTGAGCGAGATGCTAACGGTCTAATCAGATTCAATGATCAATGCTAAGCTACAGCTAAAAGTGCTACCGCCAGACCCAGAGATTGGCTGAATGGAATCGAAAACGGTAAAACTCAACTGTTTAACGCTAGGGGAGTTGGAAAATGAGCCTATTTTCAAAAATAGTGGAGTGTTCCTTTAAGATGCAAAATAACAAACATTATTCACAACAACCTGTGAGTCATTAACCTAAAAGTGAAGTGTACAATTTCTGTCATGAGCAAACATTCTGACTGTTTTCAAACAGGTTTCCAAACAGAAATCCCTGTCTGTCCTCATTAATAAAGAACAAGAAGTTGAAAAGATAATGTTTTCCCAGAGATACACAGCTGTTGATGACAACATAAGGAAATAATTTACTGCTTGTTAACATCGGATTTTACTCTTACAAATTGTGAAATGTAACTACATGCCCCTCCTTGGGTTAATAAAAAAAGGTGTAACCCACCTGTGGTATTTTGTCGCTGCATTCATGTTTGGCAAGGACAGGCATAGCAGACTGGGCAGGTGGACAGTGAACACCCTCTGTCCGCCCCTTTACGGAACATTCCGGAGTCCGTCCTTCTGTGATCAGGAGTGTCAGGAACACCAGGAAGTCCTCAGCATCATACTCAAAGAACTCCTCTGCTGCTTCTAAAAAGACAGAGGTGAGACATAGATTGAGTTAGTGACATGTTGCCATTTTTTCATTCAAAAACCTCAGAGCATATTACTCAGATAGCTGGTAGTATATCCTCTCAGAGTTATAAACTCTCACATCGGGATTACTGGATTATGTTGAAAATCGCTTTTTGGTTCTTATAAGACACACTTTAAAACTTTTTTTCTTTCCTTGGGTTGGGACATACTGAGTGGTTTGTCCGCAGTTTACATCACAGTGTGGAAAAACTTCTACTACTTGCTAATGCTAGTCAGTTAATGGAGAAACCAACCTACTCTAAAACTGGATAAAAATATGTATATGTCCCTTTGAATAAAATGATATATCTTCTATAAAGTTTAGCAATTTTTCTAAGTGCACTAGCATACAGTAAAGTGACCAGATGTGCCACTTCACGGGAACACGTTCTGCATTGGATCTTGCGGTACTTTGATGTAATACAACGATCGAGCAGCGCAGCGCAAACAGCCAAAACCTGGTTATTGTAGGCAATTTAGAAATCCTGGGCAGAACGTTTCCCCGGGAAGTGGCACGTCTGGTCACCTTAGCGTATAGATCCTGAATGCTATCGATTAGCCTCAAAGCTAATGAACATGGACTAGAAACCCACAAAACTTCAATTTTGATTTCATGTGGTTTATTACCAATGGTTACTGAAACATTAGAAGTAGATTTAACTTCTGTTTTCATACATCCAGAAACACATAGCCAGTTTCACAGTTCCAGAGAAGATAACACTGTTTATGCATAGCAAACAATCTTTGCTCTGTTTACCAGCTGTGAAAACTGGGCTAAGCAACCACGCATTCACCAGCGTATATTCCAGCAGCAAAACATACCTGATCAACAGCTTAATAAGAAACCAGCTGTCTGGATTTAAATGGAATGTAGAAACACGTGTTAAATGCGACACACCAGATTCTGAGTCAGAAATTCCGAAACACCGCTGGATTTGACACCAACAACCTGGCCAGCTGTCTGGATTTAAATGGAATGTGGAAACGCGTGTTAAATGCGACACACCAGATTCTGAGTCAGAAATTCCGAAACACCGCTGGATTTGACACCAACAACCTGTTTGAATAATACCAACACTATTGTGATACGTGTGAAAAATAAAGCTGACAATTCAAATTAGGACTCGTAATAGGTAAAGCATTTGCTGTCATAATCATCCCAATTAAAACTTGAGGTGCAGGTGAGTCCACATAATTTGATATTACACATACGGAGCAGTTCACAGCATTAGTTGTGTTGGTAATTATTCCATGTTTGCTGAGAACCAGATAGAACTGAGATTCATGAGAGTAGGTTTACCCACAGCTTTGAGCTGCAAACAAAAGTGTCTACATGGCAGTTGAGGTCCGTTACAGTCGGCCAATGGGCCTATTGTTCTCATAGCGTCAGACTCCCAGGACAACAGGGCCAACAGAGAGTATCCCATCCCTGACAGAACAGCCGTCTCTCTCCCTCTCTCTATTATCATCTAAAGGTGTGTGTTTTCATAGTTTGTGAACCAAAACAGTATTCCACAGAAATGACATGAAATCATATCACAGCATTCCACACAAAGTGTGTTTTGCCAAAGAAAAGTGATTACAATTGTGTGTGTGTGAGAGAGAGAAGAGTGTTAAATATTAGTAATATAAGTACTAAAAAAAGTTTCTGAAATTAATTAACTAATTTAAAAAACATGGGTGATGTGTTGGTTGCCACATATGAATATAATTTCTCAGACTAGCAGTTGAAATCCAGTTGTTAAATATAATTCTCTTGATGGAGCGTTAAATGTTCTGATCCAAATTTTCTTTTTCAACATGAGGCTGAAAAGGCACAGCATACACAGAATGATCCATGGGGTGGAGTACACTCAATATATCTCTGCAAACAGAAAGAGTCTATTGATGCTCTTAATTTTTGGTAGGGTTGTGTCAAAACAATACTGATTCAAGTCTATTTCAGGAATCTTTTCGTTGCTCCAATCTGTCAGTGGATTGGAAACCACATTTCACAACAGGGCTCTTATGGTGTCTGGCTGAATGAATGAACCTTTTTTCCAGTTCCATACTGGAGATACTTTTAGCCAGAACATGTCAGCTGGTGGTCACAAAGTGAATACACACACTGTGGTTTCTTTGTGGCAAAAATAATGCTATGCAAACCAATTACGATCCAGAAAAACCAACGGGTGGAGACACAGAATAGCTGTTGGACTATTAGACCAGGAAAACAACAACATACTGTGAAGAACTGCTATATGACCCACTTTTGTGGAATATACTCTCTTTCCTACTTTCACAAAAAGAAAAATAAACATGTTCTTCTATATATTGGCATTTACTGGCATTCGTTCATAAAATTAAAAGCACAGTTTACCAAAAGCTACAGGAAAAGCCCATATAGGACTTTTGCTAAATGTACTTAAAATAGGGAGTTGTTAGACTGAGATAAATTCTTCTAAAGTCACGTCAGAATGATTTTATCATGAGATGAGTGCATGAACACCACTACAATGTCATATTCATTACAAATTCTGATTTCTTTGACCCAAAATTCCAAGTTAGAGGCATGTAATGGTATTTTATTCAGTAATGACGATAAATAGTTGGTGTCAGAGACATTGCATTGTGGACAGTGCTAAAACCTTAAAATCACAGTAGGATTAGAAGTAGAAACTTCTCTTTTCCAGCTATTAAAATTCAACTCGCCTTTGAAATACTAAATTAAATGTGTATTAAACAAAAAACATAAAAAACAAAACAAAACAAAATAAAACAAGATTCTAAGATGTAGAGCTCTAGCAAGGGAAGGGACATTATGTTTGCCTTCATTAAGTACCCTATGACATCATCCTCCTCTTGGTTGTCCACATTTCCAGCACAAACACAGCTCCGAGTCAATGGGAGGGGCCAGGAAACTTCTGCCCAATCAGCACTTTCCAAGCTCCTGCCAATCACGAAAGCAGCACAGAAGGCGGAGAAAAGCCACGTGCAGTGCTAGCGTCACCCCCAGCGAACAGCTGATAGTTAATCTCGCGTGACTTTGTTAAACAAAGAGCCAGATCTCTGCACAGAGTCTGTGCTGGCAATACCATGACAGCAGATAATGATATTTGTTCCTGTTTATTCCTGCCATATTTACATATAAGCTCGTCAGCATTACATAAACGCAATCTTATAAGAGCCTGAAGAATCTCAAGGCTTTTTAGGTTGTGTAGTGGGAGGTGTATTTGTCAGGCCTGTTTTTTACTGCACTGGCTGACTGTTGCAGTATGCATTTCCATATGCGTGTGTGTGTACACACATTCTTACAGGGAACTCCTCCCACGTGCTAACTGCATGAGGAGAAACCGCAGACAACAGAGCGAGAAAGAAGGGGGGTTGAAACTGCCAGATGAACGGGAGGAGTAAAAAAGGGGAGAGAAAGACAGAGCCAGAGTATTTCCCTCATGTAGGTTAAAGGTAAAGTTTCAGCAGGGGAGAAAAGGCAGAACACTGGGTTCAGACAGGGAGGAGGAGCAAACGAGAGGCAGAAAAATACAACACAAAGGAAGAATAAATTACCAGCGCCCCATAGATTTCTTTTTTTGCTATGAACTGCCTGAACTTATTCTCTCATGCTCAGAAAATCAGTCAGATTAATGAGACTGGGAAAAAAGAAGAAGAAAAAAAAAGAGAAAATAAAACAAAATAAACAAATTACGACATAAAACCGCACAAACAAAACAAAAAACAAAAAAACTAAACAAAAACACTGCAACATTAAGACAAAAAGCAAAAATCGGTCAGATTAATGAGACTGGAAAACAAAACAAATAAATTACGACATAAAACCGCACAAACAAAACAAAAAACTAAAAAACTAAACAAGAACACTGCAACATAAGACAAAAAGCAAAAATCAGTCAGATTAATGAGACTGGAAAACAAAACAAATAAATTACGACATAAAACCACAAACAAAACAAAACAAAAAACACTACAGCATAAAACAAAAAGCAAACAAAAAACATTACAACTTGAAAAGCAAAACATAAAACAAAACAATTACAAAAATAAAAATTAAAAAAATATTACAACAAAACAAAGCAAACAAAAAACACAAACAAAAAAATTACTTGATTACACAAGTAGCTGTTTTCCAAAATAACACAGCTCATTTACACATTTGGTGTTATGACATAGACATAACATTGTTTTTCACTGCAATAGGTATATATGATATACATGCGTGACTATTAGTAGCGTTGCGACATTCCATCTTCCATTCAACTTGTCAAAACAGAATTCACATCAACCTTTTCCACTATATCACCTCTTGCAGTAAGGCTACAAGTGGAGAATGTACTTCTCTACATAGTGTTATAACTTGTGGTCTGACAGATTCCGTAACGCAACGTAACATAGGAAATAAAAGCATTTGAGTTCAAGTATTTGCGAAGAGCATGTTTCAGGCCTTATTCCCAACTGTTGTAATTAGCTTTTCTCTGTCTCAGAGAGTATAGGTGACTCCTGAGTAATTCAGTGATCCAGCCAGTTTTAGACCTGTCCTACCGTACACAAACACACATGTTCGTGACCTGGAGGTGTTCTCGCGTGTGCTTGCTGCATTTAAGCATTTGCATATTTTTCCCCTCACATGCCACAGAGTTTGAGTGAGCAGCAGCATGTGTACCAGATTGTTGGGTCTAGGACAGGACAGACCAGTGTTTCTTATATAATACGGCTATTTCAGGCACTTGTGCACTAGAGTATGTATACATGTGCAAATATGAGAGAATGCAAATGGACACTCACTCACATGTGCACACACACACACACACACACACACACACACACATCACATGAGCACGAGACAACATGTTCCATCTATATATTCAAACACAAATAGAAAGACAGTATTCTTGTCTATGTTTGACGCCAACACAGGAATGCCGCGTCAGGTTTAAAGGGGTCACACACTACTACCTTTT